TCTCATACGGCAGTATGGATGCTGTTGGTCGGTGAAGAGGTAGAGTTGCCGGGACTCCCCTTCGTAGAAATCCGGTTCCCATGCTTCCCTTGCGTGATATCCCATTCTCGCACACTTCTCTCCCCTCTGGCCACAGTCCACACACCCTCCCCATCTGCACCCAAGCCATTTGTTCATAGTTAACAGATTTAACCTTTAACGCCAACAGAAGGCGTCTGGTTTGGAACGACGTAGAAGGAAGGCGAGCAGGAAGTCCAACGAAAGTGACAGGGCCGTACTTACCCTGCAATTACATGCTAAATCAGCCCAGTGGCGTGTTAAGACTCTTGTTCCAAGAGGGTCAGGGTAGAGCCTCCAAGGTCATGCACGTAATAGTTTATGCTGTAATAACAAGGGCTTGGGTTCACCGGAAACGTTGCCAATGAATCATGTGCGTTTCGATATTACTCCACAGGCGCTCCAGGGATCGAAGGACGAGCATTTAATCTGTAGTAATTTGCATTTACCCGTGTGTCTTGGAACGCACTTTTTTTATCATTGTGAAGGAATGTACTGTACCATTACTGTTTCCTGGTATACACGTGATAATTGCCAAGATCTTTTTATAGAATGGCGACAATAAACGACATCTGAATGGCACATTTTGCCACGACGAACAGGAAATAATTATATCTTGCATCACAGGAACGGGATAAGCAAAGCAGAACAGTTTCTGTGCTAGGTCGCCAAGCTTATGAAAGCGATTCCGGAGCAAGAAATGGAGTTCATTGGATTTACGAAATCTAAATAAAAATTAATAATAGATTATAATGAATTTGCCGGAAGCTTCATTTCTTTGTTTCGAGGCAATAAAACCAGAAATCACACATCTTTTATAGAACCGACTTCCATGATCGTTTAAGAAAAAACGTGAATCAGATCAATATACTAGTAAGTGGAAGAAATAGGGCCGAGGGGGAAGGGAAGGAACGATTGAAAAGTTTTCGATTTACGACTTTGAAAACTTTCAACATATTTTACGTTGAATTCTTGTAATGGCACGAAACAAATTTCCTTCCTCACATGTAAAAGCAATTCACTCGGATTGGTTCTTACCTCCTTCAGAGGGTTTTCAGAGGAGAAAAATACATTCTGAGAGTGCCAAGCATTTCCCAAGGGGTGGGGGGGCACTACTCCTTGCCCAAGTAAAACAAGCCACTGAGTCTATTTGTAGTAAGGAGGACAATGGAGGACTGGAGACTCACTTGAATTCGACCCAATTGGAGCACTGATGGGCAAGGAAAAGGCAGGGAGAATTGATGGATTCGATGAAATACTCGACGGCCCTCAAGTGGTTGCAACTCAAGAACTGAGTCAAACCTGGGGAAGCGAGGTCAAAGGCCATCGCGTGAACATCAATGGATTTGTTGCGACATCTATAACCTGCTAGGCTCAGATATCTCAAGTGCCACTACGCTCATGCGAAAACAAAAATAACTCCTCAGTTTCTCCTTTCCTCCCAAAAAATTAAATGCTGTAGGTTCCCCATACGAAGGAGAAGGGTAAAGGGACTCTCCCAAATTCGTACCATAGACGACGGAACCGTTTTCTCTTTCAAGGGCCTCATGAAGAGAGAAGTCGCAACCCGGCATGCGAGTCCCCGAATTGGGATAGAAATCCACGTGACCCACCGGTTGTAACAGCCCCAATCCTGTCACAGAGCATGGCACACGTCTCGGCAAAAATTGCCATCCAACAGCATCCATTTAAAGGCTTTGGATCCCAATCCTTACCTCCTGTTGCGAGAGGAGCCCCGTCGGTGTGAATGACATCCACGAAGAGGGCATCCTCCGGATCCAGTCTCACGCGGGGATCCGCGTACTCGAAGTGGGGTTCAGCCGGATCAAGACCCGTGATGCGACCCAGTTTCCCGAGCCCCATGTCCTTGGCCGAGGATCCGATGTACGAGGCCAAGTGAGATCCCAGGCTGTGACCCACCGCGTGCACCTCCTCAATTCGTGTCCCCGCTTCCCTCTTTTAAAATTCACATCCGTTATTCTACGTCTCGCAGGAAGTGTCGGCTATATTTACCATACAATTCTCACGATTTTTTGTCTAAATACACACAGGGAAGCGCATGTGCCTCTTTCATAACAACTGAAGGTCGCCTCAAGACATGGCCATGACAGGACGGGTCGAGTAATTCCGCATATTTTCAGTTCATTTCAAGTTTACTCAACCGCCCCCATACTCGTAGAAGACATTGAAACGCGTACGTTCATTGCCACGAGCCATGCCACAATTTCAAGGTCTCCTGGCGGTTGGCTGATGCTCTATGTAATAAGCCCTGAATGTTTTGGACAAGGATGCATGCAAGAATAAAATGACGCAACCCTTTCCTTCCCGTAATGATTCACGTTGGTATTGAAGAGCAGTTGTATCGGTTCATTTTGTTTACATTTTTAATAGAAATCTTACGGATAGGAAGGCGAGGAAATGTGCAGCCATGACTCCAACGAGCCGGGAATTGGCCACAGCTTGGGTGTAAGGCGGTCCGGATCCCCCGAGCCAGCTCAGCACCACCACGTTCAGGTCTCGCAACTTTAGCAGCTCTGTCTTCATTTCCTGCATTTTCCCAACCCATTTTACGGATATCATAAGCCTTTCTACAGGGGAAGCGAGAAATGAGTGTAAGAACCAGTATCCACGGCTTCCGTCCGTGATCCAGATATCCGTGAATGAGCAACGCGACTGGATGCGTCCGATCGAATGGGGATTCTTTCAGCCTCCTTGTCTCGTTCGTCTTCAAACGCTGAAGAAAATTTCCATTATGGAGTGACACAACTGATGGTATGAGGGGCTTAATGTAATTTCTGCAATAACTCATTTATGTTTATATTTTATTTTTGTTTATATTATGCTTCATGTTTTGTTTATTTTTGTGCCTTGAATATGGTATATTGCCGTAACATGCCTCACAATATATGAGATTCACGATAAGTGTGTTCTTGGAGGAAGTAAAGGAGCCATCATACGTAGCATTCGGTGGGATTCCGACGAGTGTAGAGACAGAAGACGGGTCGAATGACCTCTGGAGGTTCGGGGTGTAGAGCCAAGGGTCTTTGTGCCGATGTCCACGGGTGTTTCGTGGAGAAGCAGCCGTACGGGTGGTAACATTTCTCCCATTTCCTCCTCCCTACGCACGAATGCGTCAAAAACGAACCGAGTTAAAAAAAAAATTTTTTAAAAGAAAGAGAAAATGGATTGTTGGGTGAAAGAGAGAATGATCGAGTCCCGGGGCATCGGAGCATGGAATGTCAAGGTGGAAATAAACGAGTACTTCTGAAGTTGATGATGCCACTCTGTCCCACTACACTGAGCAGGTGGAGCGAATATCCCTTAGAAAATCTCTTTCTCTCGACTTTCATCACCTCTATTACAGAAATTAGGAACAGACCACAGCGAGCGAAAATAACGTTACTTTCCGTCAGCCGCACGAGGCGAAGCTTTTCATGCCAAAATTCCTAGGACCTAAAATTATTACTGATAAAGATTTCTACATATAATCTCCGGAAAATTATTACTTATTGTATCCTTATCTCCGAAATATAGTTATTTCTTTCACATTTATCTCCGGAAAATTAGCATTGTGTTCATCTCCTGAAAATTATTACATACTGAGATAAATATTACTCGTTAGATTAAGAAGATAAAATTTTGCTTCTTCCGAGGGTTCTTACAAGCGGGATCGAAGGATGGTTCCTGAGCGACATCCCTCTCCAGAGCCCTGGAGACCCGACTGAACGACGACGAACGGGAGTCGGCCGCCTCGGAGTCGATCACGTCGTCCACCGAGGCGATTTCCTCCCTGAGGTAAAAACGCACCAGGCTTTCCCATTTCAGCTCTGCCATGACCATGAGGAAGCGTACCAGCAGGTCTGCGAGGTTGATCAACATCCCGGCTAGGGTGGGGAAACAAACAATCGCATTCTTTTTCCTGATTCTATCTCGGAATAAATTCATGAGAAATCGTTGGAGGCCGTGGGAATGTTTTAAGTTGCGCTTGGAGGCAAAAACCTCAAGTCCAAAAACCTCAATGGTGGTTCTTCCGGTGCAATAACCCGAACCCCATTAAAATTTTTTCTATCAAGTGCTAAGAATGGTAAGAATATGTATCCAACCACTGAAAATTTCCAGTAAAAACAGCATAAACAGCGGAAGTTACGAATCCTTTAAAGAAAAAAAAAAAAAAACCCTGGGCACGCATTGCGCAATTCAGCCGGGACTCTAAATGTCAATTCTCACGGGTATGGGGGTAAAGATGAATTGTGCTCAAGGGGGCCCTTAAAACAGCTCTGCTTCCTCTTCCGCGCAGGATCTTAACCTTGAATTCGTGTGTTTATGGTAGTCTGGGGAATCTATGCGACGGCCCCTTAAGGAAATCGTCCTCGTGTCGCAGTAGGAAATACTCAGACTTCCGGAAGACTTCCGAGTCAGCGTGGCCTTGCTACTCTCGACACAAGTCCCTCATTTATCGAATTTGCAAAAAAAAAACTATTTACTATGGATGGTATTAAGTAAGTAAAATATTTTCTAAAATTCCCGATTCTGCTACTATTATTATCACTATCAAAATAATTTTTTTATCCCCCGAGAAACCAGTATTCGATACTTGAACCACATGAAACTCAACTGCTTTCTTCAAACACGAATGACACGATCGCGCTCGACCTAAACGCTGACAGACAGCGACCCAAGAATCCGACCCCCAAAACACCCACCGATCGGTCCAGATCCAAAACCCTACGGGTTGAGGTGGTTGAAAATCGTCGATATTCCACGGAACAGGGTCGACCCAGAAACCGAACACTTTTGACACGGCGCGAACTCACAAGTTGGAAAAAGAGAAGGCGGGAGGATGCTGGCCTGGAAGAGACGAGAGGGAAGGGCACGTACTGACTCTCACGCGCGCCACGCGTTTATTTTTTCACGGCCATCCGGCCTCGACGGCTCTCTCTCTCTCGCCCTTCCTCCTCTCGACCTTGTGTCACCTTCCCTCCTCCCCCTCTTCCTGCCCCCCTGCTCCCCCCTATCCCTATCGCGTAAGCTGGGTAGGAATAGAAGCATGCTAACGTCACAAGATTCGACGAGACGAGACGGAGAAGGTCGAGATCGACTATTGATGAGACCCGAAAGTCTCGAGGACGGCAGAGAAATGCGTCCACGTCCCTCGAAGCGAACATCTTCGGACCTACCGTTAAAAAGTGGTATGCATTATTGAACATCGTACTCGTAAAAATATTTATCGATCACTGGTTGAAATAGTGACTCCAATTTAAAAGAAAATGCTGACAACTGATGCTTCTTCTCCAGGTGAGAGGAACATACCTCATTAGTTAATCCTTTCCAGCCCAATTACTCAATTTAGTATCGTAGTTAGTTGTTCCAGCACTTTTAAGAGTTGGTTATTATTTTATTACCATCTGCTACTTAAGAAACATCCACGTCTTCCTTTTTGAGACTTCTGTCGCATAACATTTAAATAAAACAGCTGGAATTTTGAACAGCCATATTTCGGATCAGTAATATTGGGCGTCCCCTCATTCACCCCCTTCCCCTACCCCTACTTCTCCAATTTCACAATTTACAGAATTTCAGGGGTTCCGTTCCATTATAGTCAAAAGAGACATATCGTACGAACTTAAAACTCTCGGGTAACAGATGAAGATGCTCGGAGGTGCATGCCTTCCATAGAAACCCACAATTTCCCTTTTTAACAGTTTCAAGTGAGCTCTGTCTCGGAGAATTCTAAAGGGATAACGTTTGAATTTCAAACTGCCACGCTTTGAATCAGTAATAGGAGATGCGTTACGGCATCAGGGAACCCTCAATTGCATGTGTGCATATTTTCAGTGAGTTCCGCCTCGTAGCATTCAAGTGAGACGCGTCGTTCGAATTTCGAACACCTGAGCATTGGATAAGGTAAGATTTTGAGCCATGGACGGGAGCGGATCAGTTCCATTGGACTGACCCGGGCGGGCAGCTCGGTTGGCGTTTGAGTTTCCTTCTGGGTGCTGGTGGATATGCTACGAGGGGTGGTCAAAAAGTTCTGAGGCTAAGGCACTTCCAGTTGCAATACGCCATTCTTACTCTTATTATGGGAAGACAGATTTCTTTGATGGTGATGGGCGAAATTTCATATTATTTGTCGATTTAGGAGAGCTTCTATGAATTTTTTTCTCTTCAGAATCTTTCAGAGACTGAGAGGATAGACTCCTACTGACCCTCCTCTGAAAGATCTGCTGGTAGGTCGGCTCCTTAGAGGTTAGAAAATTCCTCACAGCATTCGTCTCAATTTTAATACCACTTCAGCAGACCCTTTGGTAGCACATAGGAAACAATTCATAGAAGCTATCCGTAACCAACAAATAAAATGAAATTTCGCCTGTCCCCATCAAAGACGTCTGTCTTCCCAAGATAAGAATGGCATATTGCAAGTGGAAGTGCCTTGGCTTCAGAACTTTTTGACCACTCCTCGTATCACGTCATTAAAAGACGTCACTCCCGGGGAAATAGCTGCCAGCGGAACGTGGTGAACTATGAGACCATTGAACAGGGCAGCACGAATGGGAGCTGCAAGCACAGAACCGCTTAAAAAAGGTCGAACTCAGAGACCCCGAGAGTTAGGGTCGAGTGGAGACGAATCGAATAGGGGCCGATGGGATCGATTTTGGAAAAATCTACCCGTGCAGGCCTCCGGCGGACNGCGCAATTCAGCCGGGACTCTAAATGTCAATTCTCACGGGTATGGGGGTAAAGATGAATTGTGCTCAAGGGGGCCCTTAAAACAGCTCTGCTTCCTCTTCCGCGCAGGATCTTAACCTTGAATTCGTGTGTTTATGGTAGTCTGGGGAATCTATGCGACGGCCCCTTAAGGAAATCGTCCTCGTGTCGCAGTAGGAAATACTCAGACTTCCGGAAGACTTCCGAGTCAGCGTGGCCTTGCTACTCTCGACACAAGTCCCTCATTTATCGAATTTGCAAAAAAAAAACTATTTACTATGGATGGTATTAAGTAAGTAAAATATTTTCTAAAATTCCCGATTCTGCTACTATTATTATCACTATCAAAATAATTTTTTTATCCCCCGAGAAACCAGTATTCGATACTTGAACCACATGAAACTCAACTGCTTTCTTCAAACACGAATGACACGATCGCGCTCGACCTAAACGCTGACAGACAGCGACCCAAGAATCCGACCCCCCAAAACACCCACCGATCGGCCCAGATCCAAAACCCTACCGGTTGAGGTGGTTGAAAATCGTCGATATTCCACGGAACAGGGTCGACCCAGAAACCGAACACTTTTGACACGGCGCGAACTCACAAGTTGGAAGAAGAGAAGGCGGGAGGATGCTGGCCTGGAAGAGACGAGAGGGAAGGGCACGTACTGACACTCACGCGCGCCACGCGTTTATTTTTTCACGGCCATCCGGCCTCGACGGCTCTCTCTCTCTCGCCCTTCCTCCTCTCGACCTTGTGTCACCTTCCCTCCTCCCGCTCTTCCTGCCCCCCCGCTCCCCCCTATCCCTATCGCGTAAGCTGGGTAGGAATAGAAGCATGCTAACGTCACGAGATTCGACGAGACGAGACGGAAAAGGTCGAGATCGACTATTGATGAGACCCGAAAGTCTCGAGGACGGCAGAGAAATGCGTCCACGTCCCTCGAAGCGAACATCTTCGGACCTACCGTTAAAAAGTGGTATGCATTATTGAACGTCGTACTCGTAAAAATATTTATCGATCGATTGAAATAGTGACTCCAATTTAAAAGAAAATGCTGACAACTGATGCTTCTTCTCCAGGTAAGAGGAACATACTTCATTAGTTAACCCTTTCCAGCCCGATTACTCCATTTAGTATCGTAGTTAGTTGTTCTAGCACTTTTAAGAGTTGGTTATTATTTTATTACCATCTGCTACTTAAGAAACATCCACGTCTTCCTATTTGAGACTTCTGTCGCATAACATTTAAATAAAACAGCTGGAATTTTGAACAGCCATATTTCGGATCAATAATATTGGGCGTCCCCTCATTCACCCCCTTCCCCTACCCCTACTTCTCCAATTTCACAATTTACAGAATTTCAGGGGTTCCGTTCCATGATAGTCAAAAGAGACATATCGTACGAACTTAAAACTCTCGGGTAACAGATGAAGATGCTCGGAGGTGCATGCCTTCCATAGAAACCCACAATTTCCCTTTTTAACAGTTTCAAGTGAGCTCTGTCTCGGAGAATTCTAAAGGGATAACGTTTGAATTTCAAACTGCCACGCTTTGAATCAGTAATAGGAGATGCGTTACGGCATCAGGGAACCCTCAATTGCATGTGTGCATATTTTCAGTGAGTTCCGCCTCGTAGCATTCAAGTGAGACGCGTCGTTCGAATTTCGAACACCTGAGCATTGGATAAGGTAAGATTTTGAGCCATGGACGGGAGCGGATCAGTTCCATTGGACTGACCCGGGCGGGCAGCTCGGTTGGCGTTTGAGTTTCCTTCTGGGTGCTGGTGGATATGCTACGAGGGGTGGTCAAAAAGTTCTGAGGCTAAGGCACTTCCAGTTGCAATACGCCATTCTTACTCTTATTATGGGAAGACAGATTTCTTTGATGGTGATGGGCGAAATTTCATATTATTTGTCGATTTAGGAGAGCTTCTATGAATTTTTTTCTCTTCAGAATCTTTCAGAGACTGAGAGGATAGACTCCTACTGACCCTCCTCTGAAAGATCTGCTGGTAGGTCGGCTCCTTAGAGGTTAGAAAATTCCTCACAGCATTCGTCTCAATTTTAATACCACTTCAGCAGACCCTTTGGTAGCACATAGGAAACAATTCATAGAAGCTATCCGTAACCAACAAATAAAATGAAATTTCGCCTGTCCCCATCAAAGACGTCTGTCTTCCCAAGATAAGAATGGCATATTGCAAGTGGAAGTGCCTTGGCTTCAGAACTTTTTGACCACTCCTCGTATCACGTCATTAAAAGACGTCACTCCCGGGGAAATAGCTGCCAGCGGAACGTGGTGAACTATGAGACCATTGAACAGGGCAGCACGAATGGGAGCTGCAAGCACAGAACCGCTTAAAAAAGGTCGAACTCAGAGACCCCGAGAGTTAGGGTCGAGTGGAGACGAATCGAATAGGGGCCGATGGGATCGATTTTGGAAAAATCTACCCGTGCAGGCCTCCGGCGGACAGACAGGAGAATGTCAGCTATTATTATTATTATTTTATTTTGCCTTTTAAAATTCCATGCAAAATATTTTTTTGCATGAAAAGTAAAAATTAAGTCAGGTTGGAAAGGGTTAACTAACTTAACCGCCTTTTAGATAAATACCTTTTTGCCTAGAAGCTTAAACGACTACAGGAATCGACATTGAACGATTTACGTGAATAAAATTTCCAATACACTATCGAAGCTTTTAAAAACCGGTTAAAGAAAATTACCGAAGCTGCGGAGTCGCTGGTTGGCATCTGATTGCTGCCGTTGCGCTTCCAGGGTTGCCATTTGCAGGGTTGCCAATCCGAAACTTCGAGCACGCCTGCTTTCTGCTGTCGGTAGGTGTCGGTCAGGGTGGAATGAGTTGGCTCGGTGCATGCCGGTTTTTCGTCAAATTTACAAGTCTTCTTCAGGCGTATATTCCTCGGTGCAATTTAAACGAATTTTTTTTTCAGTGCTTCAGAACTTCAGATACTTTTTGTCACATGGTGACAAATTTCATACTTTTGACGAACTTTCGCGCAAATGTAATGAACGACCAATTTTTGCCCCAAAATAAATTTATTTTAACAAAATGAACATATTTATTAATCTTACGCAAAAGCGTCCAGTTAGTCATAAACCCTGGCCCGCGAATTAAAATTGATTGCATTGCCCATTCAATCCTGATCCTGCCAAAAGTGATTTTGCGCGCTCATGAGAAAACAATACACGGCCGTCGAAGTACTGCTCAAAGTATCTTACTAAGTACGCAAATGAACTCCCATCGAATTGCTTCAAGCGACGTTTCAGAACCTTGGCCAGACTTTATATGCACCGGCTGCCGGCAATCACGTGGAAGCCATTACGTCACGTCGGACATCCTTACCGTGGGTGGGCCTTCACATTCGGCAATGAAGTCTGAGGTTAACCGATTCGATCCATCTCCAACCGGTCATTAGCCTAAACATTTTATTTGGTGATTGATGATTCGTACTTGAGGCTTCTATTTCCTACGGAGATGCTCTGGAGGGGGAGTCGTGAAAATCAACCGCTGGCGAGCTGGACGAGAGCAAATTCTCTCAGAATTTCAAAAAATGTTTTAAACGGGTGCTTCGCGCTCCAAAGTGGCAAACGAATCATCTCATTAAATACCATGCTCGCTGGATAAAAACTCTACTATCGCCCTGAATGCCATATAAGACGTATTCCTGACTGCAGGTACCCGGCAGAGACACACGCAGCACCACTTAACACGCTGTATTTCATGCGGCATCAAGAAAATGAAATGCCACTCAGCAATAAAATCGGATGCCGCACGACGTCCCGAGACGGCGAACGTGGCCGGCCTTGCTTCGTTGGGCCTATCTACTGTCTATCGACACATAACGTTAGCTTATTCGGTGCCTGAATGTACTTGGAGACACTTAGGCCTGTGCCTGGCCAGTCTAGAATAACGTTAGAGATGGGAAGGAGGCAGGCTTTGGTCTGCCAACTAGGCAGAATGGATTTCGTGCACAGTGTGGAGATCCGGCTCGGCGGATGTTTGACACCGAGACTGAATTGCGTTCGATTCGCGGGTTGCGGCAAGAAGATGCGAATCGTGAGAGACATTTGGGATGGATGTGAACCAAAAAAAAAAACATATCTGCCGAAAATATAGTACCTTTCGTTGAAATTATTCGTTTTCGACTGCAATATGATGAAGAACGTCTGCGGCCACTCTGGTGGGATGCGACAAAATTGTTCGATTTTTCGTTTTCAGCTGCTTTTTTTCGTGGACGGAAACATTGTTTTGGCATCCGTGCCAAGCCTTCATTTCCTCTTACTAGACGTCACTCTTGCAGTGACGTCGTCGTCCGTCTTTTCTTCTGTCTCCATCCGAGGTATGCTTTTTCGCATTCCATGTTGATGACATTTTCGAGTGGTTGAAGTAGGTGAGGAGAGCTTCGGAGAAGGGCCCTAGCAAAAAATTTACCGGTGATAGATGTGTAATTTACATTAAAATTCCCGGTCAGGGTGGGAGTTTACAGGCGTTTGATAACCTATGGTGGACCGGGAATCGACCGGAAAATGACAGGAATTTCACCTAGGACCATTCGCTCTTCCTCTGGAAGGGGGGAAACGGCTGAAGACTGCTGTGCATACAGTATTCCATGGAAATGACAGGGGGAAGTGGAATTGCCATGGAAATTACCGGCTGGGGTCCGGTAAGATATTGTGCGCGTCAGTACAGTAGGGTGAGAGTCGATGACCCTGCCATGCAGAGGTTGAAAGTGCGTCCATCATGGCTGCCGCCTGTTGAGTGCGCGTATCTTCTTTTGTGCAATGTCTCATCCTCCAAAATGTTCGTGCTCAATCTGATTGGAAATTAGGGTTAGGGCTGCCTACTATGTTATAAGACTGTGTTTATATGAAGAGGAGCTAACGCACCAAGCGTTAGCCTGGGCCTCGGTCTATGGCAGGCAATTCACACCTCCAGCTCACATCTAATCTTAAGCCTTCATGGTCATATCACAGGCCTAGGCCTATGTCATTCATCTCCCTGGCTCTGTCGATATAATTAATTTTCAGACTTGCCATAGGCCTTAAATTTCTGCAGGACTCCATCTGCTTCCTTTTGATGGGGAGTGCCCACTCACTCGAACCACTCCCATTAAATAGAAATACAGTATATTCAACGCTATATTTTCTTTCTTCCAGAGTCCAAAGCAGCACCTTCCCTTAAAGCTGTCAAAATCACACAAGTGTATCATGTTGCTCCAATACGCTTGACCCAGACCAGACTATGTAATACCACGTACTAATTATTGAAATAAATGATATAAAATTATATTAGAATCGCAGCTAGTTGATATAGAAAAGCCGGAACCTAATCTATTCCAATTCTTTTTTTTTTTACTCATTGAATGCTCATGATTGATGATCTTGTTCCGCTTCCGTCATGAAAAAAAGGTAGGTCGGCAAGAACCACATTTCGACTCGTCTTCACCCTCGAGTTCTTTCTTCCCATATCTGCATGCAGGAATTCAAGGCCCAAACGGCGAAATGGTAGGAATGCAGTGTATGTCGCTAGATGATAATTCACTCCTGGAAGCATGCTGTGCTGTGCTTCCCTCCGCGATGCAGCTTCCACACAGACTCCATTTTCCACACAGCTGCCTTCCGCGATGGAGCTCTTCTTCCACCATCCAGCTGCCCTCAACCATGGAGTTGCCTCCCACCACACAGCTCCCATCCTCCACAGAGTTCCCCTCCACCGTGAAGACGCAGGTGCTCCTTGTTCGAGTCGTCGAAGTCACGCTGGGGGACCATGTGACCGCTCATATGCAGTCTCATTTTTCTTGCACACACGAGTCATGTTCGGCTTCCAGTGTGTCGGGCCATTTTGCTAATTTGTCAATTCAATGATCCTTCCCGGGACTTGCAGGTCTAAACCCAGTTGATTTGAATTGTTTCAAATCAGCCAGTCGAATTGATCCAGCGCGTCATGCTATGGTGCGATTGAGGTCGAACGAAGAAAGCTGCTAATTTGACAATTGGCTCGCTTCTTTCGATTCTTCTACCTCCAGGGTATCAAATGTTATCATTAGAGGTACTCGTGCTCCAGAAATTCGGGAATATGTCAAAGAAATACATTTTGATATTTACGGCAATGATTTTTCCGTGATAATGATGCTGACTTTTGAATTCCATCCGGGAAATCGCAATATCTAAAGTACTTGGGGAACACGATCAGAGATTTTAGCAAAATAACCAAAAATATCCCGGCATTTCGCAAAATCTAATGAATGCAATCCAGTCGGCTGTTCGATCTCGAATTCAATTTGCGACAAATTCGGCAAAGTTGGCAGAGCCCTTCGGAAGTCGACGCGAGCGCCGGGAGACGCGCAGGTGTGACCTCAAAGTAGGCACTGGGCCTAAAGTAGGGTGTGGCTCTGACCCCCTTTTTCCCCGATCGTTTCTAGGTCTTGTTTACACAGAACCCCTTTTCATCCTTGAGTCGGTGGGATCCCCCGAGATGCGCTCATAACGTGAGGACGGCGTCCCTCCGCGAGGATCTCCTTCTTACCTCTGCGATTTCCCGCTCACGATCACGCTCACCCTCACGCATCGACTACAAAAGTGGTACGATCCATTTCCTTCGCAGAGTTCACAGAGTCCCCAAAAGTAGTGTTTGTGATGTCAAGTGCTTCGGTCGATTGTGGCTTTGACATATTGCTGCTCACCCGTGAGCAGAAACTACTAAACCGAATCCGATAAATGAAGCACTGATAGACTCGTCGCGCTTCGGGGAGTTTTTGGAGCATGAAAAAATGCCGAAATTCAGAAAGTACCGAAGAGTAGCCTACCCAGGTCTGAAATATGTCATGCACCAATTCCAAGGTCTGAGATACGCCCGTCTTAGCACGGACACCCGCGACTGTTCGAGTGGAAGGCTGAGATTTTGTCTTTTTCTTGTGGGTTTTTGTTATGCAATATATTCTGCAATGCAACGCATTTTCGGGTGATCCCGAGGACTGGAGTGGGGTGGCGCTTCTTGCAAAGCCCCAGGTCATTTGGTTCACCAGTGAATAAGATAATTATGTAGGGTTGGTTAACCGCAAGAATTATATAAGTTCCCTCAGGATTCAGGAAGTTCGCAATAATCCTTTCATGTTCTCCTGCAGGCCACACGCAACCCTCAAAATGACCGTGATGGGTCAGTACAGACGATTTCTTTTCCGAAATAAAGGCTTATTCTCTCAGGGAGGAAATCGGCAACCGAAAAAATGACAGAATCGCTTGACACAAGACGAAAATGCAAAATACTTTTAATTGAAGCCTGAAGCAGGCTCAGAATAGGATCATTAAGAAATGATACTGCTTCCGTTTGCGAGATTCATTCTCTTAAGTGTTGGTTGTATTTAGCGTGAGTTTGGGCTAATTCATTCGATTCCTCTGATCGAAGAAGATCTTGTCCCCAATCTCCATTATTTTCTGTCCTACTTTAGTTCAATGGCGTACTAATGAAATCAGCATCACTTTTGGCTTGGGGTCCAAAGGCCCAAGGTGCCATACTTCCTTGTATGCACCCAATAAATATGTAGTATGCCAACGATGTTACGAATTCAATTCTAAATTGGTATTGCAGTTCATCAGCAAGGAGAAAAATTTAGGACTTTGGGAATAGAATTTTGCCAATGAAGTCACTTTTTTTATATTTCCAGCCGGAATGCTGATCAATCTGGCGGATTTGCTTGTGCGCTCCCTCATGATCATGGGGAGTTTCAAGTGGGAGCGCTACGCGGATGAGATCAAGCCGCTGGATGACGTGCTTCAGCCCGACTGGTCTAACTCCAGCAGGGGATACAGGGCGCTGGATGAGGGAGTCGGTCGGGGAGACTCCGGGGGTTCGGAACGTGAGGAGTTCGAGTTTTCGTCTCTTTCCGGAGGGTTGTCGGTTTCATGTCGTGTTCGGTGGGAGCAGTAATTTCCTCAGGACTTCCTGAATAAATGAAGAGGTAGGGGTGGGTCCTGGCCGAATCGAGACCTTCTTGGTTCCTCTATTTTTTTTTTTGAGCGATGCACGTGACAACTGATGTACGCGCTGGAGAGCTTCCCTGGTCAGTTCAGTTTCATTCCGGCGGAGGGCGCGGCCGGTGGAACATCCGAATGGGCTCTGACTGAATGGCGCGCATGCACGCGAGCGCTGTTTCTCGCACGTCTTGGTGTAAGGGGCCATGCGCGACTGCGAAGAGCTGCGTTGGAACTACTGCGACCGTCGCAGTTCGTTGCAATCAATCGTTCGCAGTGGGGATGCGTGAGACCTTCGCAGTCGGTCGTAGTACGCTTCGCAACGGAGTCGGACGAGTCATTTCCTGTCGCATCTCCGCAGTGGTTCGTGCTGCGTAATCTAATGGCTGCAAGTTATGGAATCCTTGGATGAGCTTACATGAGCGAGATAGGAAATAAATCGTCAAGGAAGGTCTCGATGTCATTTATATTTCTGATTATTTTCCATTGTTTCGATCCACGAATTTTAATTAAAATTTTTTAAGTCGAGAAGCTCTTGTTCGAGTGCAAAAGCCTGAGCCTGGGTCTCATAGACGTAGGAGGAAAACACTCCTTGCCTTCGGTGATATTTTCTGCTAGAGTCGCGAATTTTCCCAACTGATGACGGGATCTGTGTACCTACTTACCCCTGTCGAGAGCTTTCCCCCCCTTGGGGCTGCAAAAAAAGTTGCAGCGCGAGTTCTCAAGTAGTACACAGTCATATTGGATTTCGCTTGAGAGCTCTGCGACCGGTGTGGGGAATGCTTCGCAAACGGTAGCACTGGACTGCATGTCCTGCCAAAATTTTATCTCCTTGCTATTTCATGGGACTTCTGGGGATCGCTTGCAATAGCCGACTCAATTGGGATGCTCATATGCACTGAATTGCCAAGTCTGCCATCCTTGTCACTCGACCATAATGCGGCTTATGTCTTTTCCGCCTTTCGACTGCGAGAACCCCTGTCCGCCTCGTCGTTGCGTATGCCAGTCCACTTTGGGGCGGCATTCCGTCCTTCCACCTCTCCCCCCTCGAAAGAGGAGGGAGTGGTGGAATGTATGCTTGCTAAATTTATTTGGCATCTTTCTACTGATTCCTTTATCAACTCATATTGGAACTGTCTAAGTTTGCAAGAGGCGCCGCAGTGGTTAATAGCAAGTACCTAGAGATGGGTCAGGGGCAGTTATGCGTGTCACTCCAAGACGTCAGACCCCAATGCAGTTGCAGTGTTGATTCAAACGGGTCCCTTGACCCACAAAGCAGCTAATATTTATGACAACCGTGGATCTCGTGGCACATATGATACCGTAGAAAGATTCTCATGCGAGCAATCCAGTTTCGAATCCTACCAGCTTCAGGTCCTCTTCGTGCTTTCGGATATCATTAAGAATGGAGGGTTTGCTGCACCTCGATTATCCTCGACTCTTTGACCCTGAAGGCATGATGCGCAGTGATGAATGGGTCTGAAGCTCGAGAGACATTGAAGTTAATCCATGAAGAAAGGGCGTTGGGTGGTGTGATGACGTCTGACATCTCCACTGTATAAATACTCCCCCTACTGTGATCACCGCTCGTGGCATGGTCCTCGTCTGCCTGTCCCTCCAAGTCTAAATAAAAGAAGTCATGCAAGAGGTTCTAATCCTCTATACCCGTTCTGAAATTATGTTCTTTACCGCCATTTACCTACTCGACCCTTCTATTGTATTTTTTTTGTTGCTCACTTTGGCACGTTCTTGCGTAGGGTGGAGGAAATGGAAGAGATGCTATCCCCCCTATGGTTGCTTCTCGACTGCATGCCCGTGGAGGTCTTCCCAAACCCCCGTGGCTTTCCACCCGTTGCCCCCGGAGGTCATCCGGCCCGTATTTTGCCTCTACACCCGCCGGAATCCTACCGCGTGCCACGTACGGTGATTAATTTTTCATTTCCCCTTTGGATTGAAGAAAGATTCAATAGATCGTGATGCGATGAAGGGTGTCGCAAGTGACGTTAAATGTCGGAGAGAAGAAGCAGAGGCACTTGCAAAGGAAGTCGGTCCAGGCACCTCTGCATCTCCTCGCTTGAACGTGCATTAAGGCTTTACCATTGACTTGTTTTAGCGAAAGTCTAGATTTCCCACCTTTCGTCGTCGTGCTACGCGTCCATGCAAAATGTAATGGGAGGACTCTTCCGTAGTTTCTGAGAATTCTTGGAGAGGCAAATCATTAGAAGCGTTTTATTTCTTAATTTCTTAATTTTAAAACTCTTGGAATCAACGCTTGCTATTCCCGGTTCCAAAACCAGACCCACCTATGCCAAATATCATTGCTTAAGAAAGCGCTCATATGGCAGCTTGGGAACTTTGTTTTGTCCGTGTCTGATAAACTAACTGAACATTGATGCAATAAGGGTGTAATCAAAGAACATTTAAGAAATGTTGATTCTGATGAAACTTGAAAGTTCAGAAAAATATCTCAATAAGCGATATTACATGATATGACCGAAAAGAACGTTACATCGTATTTTCTTAGAGGTGTTTTGAGATTCTACGCGGTCGGAAATATGTGAATACCGCCTTCAAGTCGGGAATCTAGCCTTTAAAAAGTTTTCAAATTTATTTGATCATGCTTTAAATGCAAAATTGAATGTCGGCACTCCAGCTTTGGGATGAACGCCTTCCCAAAAATTTGTCTTTGCCCGTGCGAGAGAATAGTAGCGTTTTTCGATGAACTTTCAAATATCAACCCGTATTTGCTAGGTCACAGGTCCCATCTTCACTTGATATGAGCATAACCATTTCGACGCGGAGAAACCGTTCCATCTGGGGTGCGGTTCCTGGAATCGGGTCGACTCGAGAATAGGGGAAAAGCGGTGCCTTTTATCGACCTGATTTGAATTCGCCTTTCTCCCAGATGCATATCGTCCTCAAAGGGTTACATTTAGTGATATCGTGTAGACAACCAGCCCGGGGGGGAGTTTTCGGTGTAGATACTGTGAGGACCATGTTTGAAATTCCTCACCGTGAAGACGCGGTCCGAAGGAAAAGGAAGTGGTTCTCTTGAGCGAATTTTCATTTTCACTTTCGTTTCCCACAATCGTCTGCGTATTTATTTCTGCTGCGCTTATAAGAACAAAGTTCCTTTCTGATGATGCAGTTTTTATTTGCACAACTGCCCAGGTTGACAGCTCAAATTACCTTCCCCATTCTTTACCTATTCCCTCACCGCAAACGTGTGCGGTTCGTTTCCTCGTTTAAATCCATGTCGGTCGGGAGAAGACTCGATTGCGGTTGGTTGCCTTCCCACGTTTATCAGCTGTCGTTAGATGGGCTCGCACGTGTATTTTTATTTATTTGTTAAATGTATTTTTGTACATCGGTGAAGGGCTGACATTTCCTTGCGACGGAGACAAGTAAGTCGGGAACCGTTTTCCTCACTGGAAATAGCGTTCCCAAGAAAACAAGAAGAGTCGAGAGCAGTGCTAAAATCTTATTCTGGTAGTTCCCTGCATTGCATTGGGCTGAAAGCAGAGGAGGATCGGGAATAAGACTTATATTTTTTTTAGTTCTTGAGTAAGAGCACACGTTGTACATTGCACTCTCACCTTGAAAGAGAACGAGACACTGCGGTCTCTCATATGCCGGAAAATCTGCCTTCGATTCGCTTATCTAGGCTTACTTGCTCAATAATCGTGTCAGTTCTAACTTGGATTACCTTATCCTAGGGGCTGCCGGGGAAAGCTCGGATCATTTTGAAATGGAACGTGCATTAGAAAGTGCTATTACAATGCTAGCAGAGTTTAAATTATGAAATTATGCATCAGTTTATGCATTAGTGATAATGATCTTGCGTTCGGTGAGTAGTCTCCAATAATTATTGACATACCCATCCAAATGACGAAGAAAACAAAGAATGGCATTGTGCAGAAAAAAAATCTGAGCTCGTTTCATACCCTGATTACGTTCTCTGTCCTGATTGGGATTTCTTCAGCACTTGAGGACGAACGAGACGAGGAGGCTGGAAGAATCCCCTTTCGATTCGAGGCAGCCAGTCGTGTTGCTCACTCACGGGTTCCTGGAACACGGAAGGAAGGCATGGCTACTGGTACTGTACTTCAGTAATTCCTCCGTGAAAAGATCTGGTACTTATGTTCGTAACATGGAGTGCAAAAATGTAGGATATAACGAGGGAGCTGCTGAAGTTGAAAGACCTGAACGTCATAGTGCTGAGTTGGCTCGGGGGATCCGGACCGCCTTACACCCAAGCGGCGGCCAATACCCGACTCGTTGGGGTCATGGCAGCTCATTTCCTCGCCTTCCTCGCCGTAAGATGCATGCAACGACCTACGGAATGGCTGCCCGATTCCCTGCTGCCTACTGGCGATGTGAAAAAGCGAAGGCATGGAACTGTTTATATCGCTTTGTTCTCTTCTGCATGCTTTTCGTTCAATATCGAACATTAGTAGCTCCAGTAGCCTCATGGCAGCTCCAAGAGGATAGAGGAAAAGCGTCATAAAACGAATCTTGCCCAACATTATTCACTTTCCAGTGTCTCCTGCCAAAGGCAACTGATTATGCAATTGTGTCTACTTTAAAACAGCTGAGGAGATGGAGAATGAATCGATATTTAATGTGTTGGCCACTGCATCGGTCTGCCTAGATGTCTCTTGCACCATCCTGTATTCATAAAGTATATGTTGTACTTAGGAACCCATATATACTTCTAGAACCCATCCAAGTAAGGGTCACATTCAGGGTCCTCAAAACAAAAAAGAGGCATTCTTGTTTGGTCTGATGGACTGTGGTTCTTCCATTGCTGTCTAAACTGGGTATCCCAAAAGTCACTTCACATTTGGCACTGTACTCATTCCATGGGTTTGAAAATTATTTTTAGTTCATAGTTATTACTTTTTAAGTATAAGGCGACTTTTGGGACACCGTGCTATAAATAAATAAATGCTAAAAATAAATAGTACTTTTTAAACGTGTGGAATGTGTACAGTGTCAAGTGGCTTTTGGGACACCGCTTGGGACACTGCTTCATAAGGCTGCATTTCATTAGTTCTCTCATCAAATTTTACCTATCGAAGATCCCGCGCATAGGATGAAAATCTAATATCTTTTGGACAATATTGAAAACTGCACGATTCTTTGCAGAACCAGGAAGACGAAAAAGAGCTTACTTTTTCGGACTACCTCGCATGTTGAGCTATGCATGAAAAAACACAAGTAAATACTTGGAGAAATTTTGAATTAAATGACCCAAATTCCCTGAGTTCTTCATTAAGCGCAGTCATTGTCAGAATAATCTGGACACTCCTACTTAAAGCACTACATTTCATATTACGATGGAAATGACAACATAACAGAATGAGCTTAGTAAATATGGGCCTTCCATCTTGTACTTCTGCAGACTAAGTTCTCAACAGTAATTGTAATTGTACAGGGTGGGCCAGAGATATTCTTACCACTTGTAACTTTTCTATTTATATACGCCTAAAAACAGCAAAGAAAAATATGTTTTGTACCTCTATGTGAGTGTCTCTTTGGTGGTCAACCTTGGCTGTTTTAACACGAATCCTCTTCTGCCTGGAAATGGCTTCAGGTTCAAAAAATTGTCTGGCTGACCATGAGGCAGAAACGATCAGAGAATACGAATGACCCCCTTACAACTCTGACCGTAACCAAACGGATTTCTGTATGCGATGTCTGCAGGAAGCAAGTGCCCATAAACGAAATCCAGCGACCTGAACCAATTAAGGTTCGTGCCGAAAGAGGAGTGAAACCATGTCCGTCCAGCGCGATCGACTGAATTATTCCAGGTTGTCATCAAGAAGAATGGGGACACATCGAACTTACGAGGGGAGGTGCAAAATTAGTGAGATTATGTCCTTATTTATTTATTTCTCAACGTAGTCTACTTGCCTCTATATCTGTGGATCTACTTGTCGAAAGAAAGACAACTAAAGGAAGAAAGACAATAAAAGCACGAGTCCCACTACTTTTGCATCTATCCTCGTGTTCTGTGAGTAGTCACTTGCCCTTGGGTCTTGTTGAGATTCAATTAATTCCATGAGAAGTTATCAGTACAGGAAATGCAAGACTTCGATTTGGTGTGAATATTTATGGCCCACCCTGTAGGTGGTTCGACTTTGGGAATGTTCAAGTCAAGAATTTGACAAAATGCAGATATGCTTAGATTTAGCAATGTGGGCATCCAGCCGATGATCCATCTTAGTTTTTTTTTTTTTTTTTTTTTACTGGACTGGCAGACACGTATGGTTCTTCGGACAAAAGCCTCTCTTAGAAGGGAGTGACAAGAGTACCAACTGTTAAAAACCTGGGGAAAAAAGAGTTCAAGAATGCGTCTCACGAGCTCACCTATTATGGCTGGCTTCATGTCTGTTCGCAATCTTCTGCCTCTCTGGTGTTTCTTTGGAATTTATTCTTCTGATTTTCAAGATGAAATAGATTGATATTCGAGCAGTATCAGAGTCTAGTTATAACTGTATGGAAACAATTCCAGGTTTAGAAAGTGAACAATAGGAGTCGTATGGATCTTGCTATCGAATCAGATACTGTTCGGATCCTCTGATGGAAAAGGAATTCTCAATTGCCAGTATCTGTGTCGAAAAACAGGCAACCATTAATATTCATGGGTTTTACTTGAAGTGTTGAGGAATATGCTGCGATGGACAACCATCTAAGAGAAGATGAAGTGGATCCCGATTGATGATATTGCACATCATCATGCATCAATCATATAAATTTTAATTCAAGAAAAACTGATTTTTTAATAGGAAAAAAGAAACTTACTGGGGATGCACCTTCTTATTTTTCAATCACACTCTCGTGACCATTGGCCATTACTGAGAGGACCTGGGTTTTACCTACTAGAACTTTATCCAGACCTGTGGCGCGGGCAGAACTTTTTGAAACTCAGATTTAAAGTCTATTGGTGCAGGAGCCATGCTCATAGAAGTTCCTTGGTATCATAGTTGAATCCAGTGGCTGAGCAAATGAAAGGTGGTTATGACGATTATGCAATTTGTTCCATATTCACTTGGAATAACAGTAAGGTTGTGAGCTTTTGCGAATTTATGAGTGGGGTTCATATTGATCGAAATATGGCCATTTATTCCCTGTGCATGCAACCATACACGAGATACCCAGATTTCTGGAGATCATATGCAATTATGGTTGTGAATTTGTGAAGAGGGAAGCGGGAACACGAATGGAGGAGGTGCACGTGGTGGGTCACAGCCTGGGATCTCACCTGGCCTCGTACATCGGATCCTCGGTCAAGGACATGGGACTCGGGAAACTAGGTCGCATCACGGGTCTTGATCCGGCTCAAGTTCATTTCGAAGACGCGGATCCCCGCGTGAGACTGGATCCGGAGGATGCCCTCTTCGTGGATGTCATTCACACCGACGCTGCTCCTGTCGCTGCAGGAGGTAAGGATTGGGATCCCAGGCCTTTGAATGGTCGCTGTTGTGTTTGGTGCGAGGAGCAAAGTGAAACGTATGCTGTGCCTCGTGACAGGATGGGGGATTCTGCAGCCGTTGGGGCACGTGGATTTCTATCCCAATTCGGGGGCTCGTATGCCGGGTTGTGAATCGTCTCTTCCGGAGGTTGTCAGCGTCAGCGATTCCGTCACGGATGGTATGAAACACGATGTGTCTCCTTCCTACCCCCTTATCATTAGATAGTACATTTAAATTCTACAATAATATTACCTTTTTTCGGTCGTTAGCTGAAAGTGAGGTTATTTTTCGTATTACAAGGCTTGATAGTGTCTTAATTCGTAATAATTGTAGACTATCTTTCCCAACAACTTTTCCCCCTTAAAACTCACGTTCACGGCTACGCATAGTCTCTATAATTGCTGTTCTTCCTTCCTTCCCCTTGGTAATTGATCTTGATTTGATATGATCAGAGAAGACATTTAGTTGGGGATCTGCTTGGTGTTCTTGCGACTCGCCATACTGTTCGCGCTAAAACAAAATCTACTGAACTATAGACTACTGAAGCACCAATGGATTAGTCTTGATGCTGGGGCGTGCTATTCCAGTGTTTCGAGCTCTGGTTTGGCTTAAAAGGTACTTATATGAACTGAATTTCCAAAGCAGACAGACGCAAAAACTACAGTTTCAGATTTCGATACATGGGATTCTAAGGGACTTCGCTCATAACGTCATGAGGAAAACGGTGGAAGTGCGAGTAGGAATCGCCATCGAGGGAAGACACCACTGCATGCTTTTTCTTCCCCCATTCCTTCGCAAGCGATTCGAACGTCCTGCAGTCTTCCCTGCCTGGGGCGTGATCCAAAGCGATTCTCATTCGCTTTTGAACCGAGAGGTTTTCGGCTTTTACTGCATTCTTTTCCGGGTTTTCGATTGCTGATCTCTCGCCTGGCTTTCAGGTTTGATACGGTTCCTGGTTTGCAATCACGTGAGGGCCATCGACTACTTCACCGAGTCCATCAATTCTCAATGCCCTTTCCTCGCTCATCAGTGCTCCGATTGGGTCGAATTCACGTGAGTCTTTTGTTTCCGTCATCGGCATCTAGCCGTTCTTCCTCGCCTGCTAAAAAGCGGAAATCGTAATATTCTGTTTATTATTGGCTAAATTTCTCCCAAGCGGAGATCGATGAAACTCTGCCATAATTTTTGCTGTGCAGGATACACAAGACGCAGTTTCAGCCACAAGTGCTGGGGTCGTTTGCTGAAACCCGATTAAATAAGTCTGCAATGGGTTTCTTTAAAAGGAATCCGCTTTCTCAATCGCGACGAATGGCACGTCCAATCTATTCCGTTGTTTTTTTTTGTAACGCTTTCTCCCATGCAAAAATGTCACCAGTGATTCACCGGTGAATCACCGGTGGAATTTGGTTCAACAACAATTCAACGTTGAATCAACGGTGACCACTGTTGAACTCCTGTTGAGTGGATGATGAAAACCAGAAATTAAATGGTGAATCACCATTGATTTGCGGTTTCAATTCCAACTTTTTTTGTAAGGGCTGTAAGTTCGCGATCTGAAATTATCTAGATTTGTCGGCTTCGAAAGGGACTGCATCCGAGGACGAATTCGCTTGCCATGAAACGGTCCTTGAGCAATTTGCTACAGTATCGGTGTGATAGTCATCGTTACAGTACCGGACTTCATAGGCTGAAAATTCGGTGAAAGCAGATATCTACGATTTAATGGGAAGTTTTGCCACGTTAAGATGCAATTTACGTTTTCGAATTAACTGTAGTTTCATGCTTAAAATTATTTCGTATTCCCGAAGATTCGCTGTGAAAAGAGGTCAGTTCGAAACCCCGTGGAAGCGCGTCCAATCTCATTCACTGACGTCACCAATATTATAAGACACATCTCAACTTATGGGGGAAACAAGGTATTGAGGTCGACCCAATCGGTCATACAAGAAACAGCATCATGGTTGTACGTTTTATGCTCATGAAGCTGATGTGGACGGAGTCCAAGCGTGACTTGTGACAACTCAGCGATTCAAGTGCCATCTCGCTTCGGCTGGAGGGATTTTGTTCTTGTTTGAGTACCTGTCAGATGGCTCGCCTGTTGCTCCTGGATTTCGCTACACAGCTCTTGACGTATAACTCTTGACCTGGAACTTCGGTCGGGCAAATCTATGTACGTTATATTGTACTAGTAGAGGTCTGTCTAATGGCATCCATGGCGTCTGCGATCAGACTGCCATATTTTCTCTAGTAAAATAAACTTTTTTTCACAAAAAAATGGAAAACGGTAGTTCAGAAAAAGTATTGTCACATAAGAATGATGAATGTTCGGATGTTATGGAATCCATGTCCAAAATTTCACCTCGCAATTAGTCGCGGCGATGCTTAAGCGCAAACAGACGTACAGACAATGAGGTGCGATTTTCTGTGGTACTACAGTAGATGCATTTTTTCCGCCTGCGTTATTTGTTAAACCCTTTTAGTGGCCCGTCCGAAGTCGACTCGTTTGCACGAGTGGAAAGCGCTATTGAAGCGGCTGGGCCGAATTCAGTACGGGAAAGACACTTATTGCATTTGTGTGGTACTGCCGTCGACGGACATATTAGAGAACGGAAGTTATGGAAGGGTTGAGGGCTTTCTGTTAGTTTCAGATGATGCTTCAGGGAGTTCAGAATCGGAATTCGACACTCAGTTTAAAGTATCAATAGAAGTGAAACAGAATATCCAAAGCAAAAAAAAAGCAAAACAGAGTTGACTAAAGAGTTAATCTTCGTTCGGTGAGCTCTCAGCTCACTTCACTCCGGTCTGAATTATGATAGAACTTCTCTAGTGAATTTCGATTCCGATTGGAATACGAAACGATCATAGCTCAAACACAATTTCAATTAATATTACGATAAATGCGAGAGGAACCGTACTCAATCACAATCCGATCTCTTAATTGGATTGCAATCGACCTATCCTAGGAATTTGATATCGTCTCGGATGATCTCGCGAGATGCTGGGGCCTCACGAAGTGCGTTAGAGATGCACTGCTGATGGAATTATGACTGGCACCTTCGTATGCAATGGATGGTTATTAAGCCTTTGACTGTCGTTCACGCCACATGGCGTGTTCGGCGCAGCGATCCTCCCCTGTCGTTCACGCCATATGAACGCCATATGATGCCGTTCGGCGCGGGAGAAGTGCTTCGCAAAGAGAGTTTGGCTGGGCGTTTCAATCCTCGGCAGTCGAAGTGTTAAGAAAGGGTGAATTACATTTTCCCCCCAAACACAAAGCAATGCAAGACAATTCGTACATGTTTATTCGAGGGAAGTTATGAGTTATTTTTGGTTACCGACATTCAAGCCATTAACAGATGACATCATGCAAAGGCTCAAACGTCAAATGCACGGGATATTTCTTCACAAGTGGACATTTCCCATCTCATGAGGGAAAGGTGAGTAGAAAGTGTGGAATCCGCGAAAATTCTAGGAAGTTCATTGCGGTTCAAGTCGGTTACAGTAACCTTCCATGGGTGATGGCAGAGAAGGATATCGAAAAGCCGGTTTCAAACGGGGAAAACCTCCTGTCATGGCGCCCCAGCAGGCAGCCTGTCCGTGTTCGTCTTCTTCCATTGTTTTCCCTGCCTCGTTATTCTCCGGAATCGTCCGAACGCGTTGCGGATAGTGCCATCTCCGAGTGGTAAGATTGTGCAGCCAAATCCGCGAAGGTAGTATATCCTCGTATCTGTTCAATGTGCAATCGCCCTAGTGCGAAACGGTAGAGTCCATCATTACTTCGAGACTCAAAGCCGTGACCTTGAGACTCGGCAACCTAGACCTCTCGGGACTTATTCCCCCTTTTCCTTATACCAGGCGTAGGATAGTGGAAAGAAAACTGGTTTAGATGAAAATCACTTCTCACTCCACTCATTTATCCAGCCTTGGACAAATCATATCGAGACCAAGAAAAAGGCAGCGCCAAGAATGATCTGCTCTCTTACTAATATGCTGAAGATCGAAAGTGCTTTAAAGCTGTTTCTCAAGATAAACCTGCTCACCGATGGACTCCAGGTAATCGCTACGAACTTGACACTTGGAAACCTTAAAATCGAATAAGGTGGAAAAGTGCCTTCCTGAAAAAGACGCTGCCTCTCGCCTAGCCATGACTTTAGCCACTCTCTCGCATCAAATGATTGAAATTCTAATCCTCTGTGAAGAGCAAAAAAAGTCCCCAATCGGGACAAAACATAAAGTCGAAATCAACGACAGTCTCCGGAAATTCGAAGTGTAGAACTAATCTGGAAGACCTTGTTGGTTCACCAGCCACTTCTGAAAAGGAGCGAACGAAAGTAACCGTCGTCTCATAACTAGCCATTGGTTTCGCTATTAAATATGCAACTGCAAAGAGCACCTCGACCTCGAACCCACTTGTGCCTGCTGCCCCTGCGAGGATCCTGCAGGACATCATCCTCCATTGGAATGCACAGTGAAAGAGACTTCGACCTCTTTTCCCTGCTGAAGATTCGGCTGACATTCATGTCGGAGTGGATTAACGATCCCGGCCCTCGCTTCATTACGTCTCTAATCGACTTTCAGTAATCCAATGTCAGTGTACTGAATGTGTATTTCGCGTTGTCATGACTGAGGATGAAACTGTAAATACAAGAGGAAAGAGTCAATCGACGTGCTGGATCTTTTTTCGACTCCGCACACAGCAAAGGTAAGACTGAATAAATTAATGATGGGTGATGGTGAGCATCAAGGAAGTCTTGTTTTTCGCCCTATCATTACGTTTACATTTACAACCAGTTGCATGTTCTTGAATCATCCAAGAATTAGTACTTGAACTTATTGGCATATTGGAAATCGGGAACCACCATCTCTATAGCACATCCAAAAAATTCCGCCTTCCCCATTCTCTTTCAGTATGGTTTCATCCAAGTATTGTTGAATGTTGGAAGCCAATAATAATTCCACGGCCTGCCTTGGATATACCTGTATGGATCGTTTCCTTTAGTTTGCTAGTATAAGCAAAAGGAAATAATGAAATGCGTTTTGACTTTGTAGCAACAATATCATAGTTTCGGGTTAGATGAAGTTAATGCTTCCAGGGTACTACAGGTGGTCTTCATTCCCTTCCATCCTTTCGTCTCAATCAAGTTCAATGTGATCATGATTGGCTTGAATGCAGTATTATATATTCGACTGACTCGAATGTGCAGGCAGGGAGGATGTGTGAGCTGTGGCCAGAAGGGAGAGAAGTGTGGTCGGATGGGATATCATGCAAGGGAAGCATGGAAACCGGATTTCTACGAAGAGGAATCCCGACAACTCTACCTCTTCACTGGTCACCGACATCCCTTCTGCGGTACAACGACTCGATTCATTTTCGCTGCCGCGTACGTCTATATTCCCAAATGTCTAAGGGCTGATATTGTTTTGGATAGGGGTGACCCACGTGGTGACTCTGGTCGTGGCGGATCATCAAGCCTCTCGCAAGCATGGAGGGGATCTCGGCGCGTTTTACATCACACTTCAGGGCTCTCGAGGCTCTTCCTCCAGATTACGGCTCGGAGATGAGTATGCGCATTGTTTTTCTCCCTTAAAAAAAAATGTATGTTTTGGATATAGGGCAACTCGTAAATCTGGAGACACTTTTGAACCTTCTCTCTGTTAAGCTCCACAAACATTTCCTATACCATTCAGTTTCCCCCATCGTGAAGCAAAACTAGAGTTTTAATAGTTTTAATTTAATAGTTTTAATAATAATTCAAAAATAGAGATCTGAACTGTCTTAGTTGAGTCAGATATCCCGAGGTTTAGTTTCCAAAGTTTTACGTCATTCTTCTATGCCTGGATGAAGCTGAAAAGTTGAGGGGAATGTTTTTGAAGTCCCCTGTGGTAGTGACGAGCCCAGGCGGAATGCTGCCCGATTTCTGTACTTCTCATCTCGCGATTTCCGAGTGAAAACTTGCAAGCGCTACCAGACTCTTTTCCTTTCACAACACAAATGGGAATTAGTTTGTATTAACGTAATTGAAATCTGACTCCTTATTCATGACCATGCCTGAAACCTAAGGAAGGGAAATTAGAGAGGAGAACCATGTCTATGACGCAGACGTATTGATAGACATGAACACCATGAATAAGTTTGCGAAGCTTTTCCCCCTTCAAAGTACACCGATTGCGCACTTCCGCAAATGTAAGCTTATGAAATTTATATTGACCACCCTTGGACTGGAACAAAGTAAATTGCAGGAGGAAATTGTTGGAAATTGTGAAAACGCTTCTTGAGTTTCAATATTCTGCTGCTGTCCGGAGCAGTGCCAGACAGGCACAACATTTCTTGAAAAAAAAAGTTGCCATCAGAAACGAAACACTCCAGTATAAGGTCCAATTCTTCTACCCTTTGGCTGCTAACAGACTTGGCGAAAGGACTTAATCCGCTAAAACAGCTAAAAGAAAGAAGAAATACAGCCAAGCATCATTCTTTTCTCATTTAGTTACTGTTGAACTTTAAATTACCCTTTTGCTATGTATGATTCTTCAACAGGCTGTAAGGCCAATTTATCTCATTAGCTACCTTTACGAAAAATCCCCCAGCTGTCCATTGGAGAACCTCGTGTGGATGTAATGTAGATGAATGTGAAGCTCTGTGGACGTAATGTTAACTTTTGGGGATTAGCTGTACACCACTTGTGAAGGAATGTGAACTCAAGAAGGTGCACATGTGGACTCAATGTGGATCGTTTGAATCTCCATGGGGACATGGCTGTCAAAGTCTCATGGGAAAAAGTGTACCACACTTTATTCCATACTCCCCCGGACCGAGACATGGGGTCCACCCCCATGGGGGGGGGGGGGGCGAAATAACAGTTGTAAAGTTGAAATTAAAGCTGAACTTCTCTGTAGATGCTCAGTACTTTTTTGGAAAGATCTGGTCACTTTGCGAGGTGAAGGTCATATCCTGCAGTCTTTGCGACATCGACAACCTATGGAGCTAGGAGTTAAGGCATAATAGACTGGCACCAATGGAAACACTGGCACAGTGCCCAGCATGGCACCCATGTTGTCCATGCAGCGTGTTGTTTGACCTCAGTATTCTTGTCCTGGAATTCCTTCTTTCTGTGCGTGTTATCATGAACTATAGCTGCTAATATATTCACACTATATGTTAGGCCAATCTACCTCGTCTGTGATATGACAGGCCCTTCAATGTTGGTTCTGCATTTGAATTTTGCTTCCAATAAGAAGGAAGGGCAGAGAGACTACCATAGCCTATTGCAGTAGACTACCTGAATGTGTAGGCCATGCCTTCAGAAATTACCAAGTTCCCGTTGTCGGTGTCAACCAATTATTCAGTAATTTAGCAGATAATATCTCTCACTGCCAAAGCTAGACCTGATAACATGAAATGAGCGCAGAGGCCAATAAATTCTCTTTTTGGCGTGATTCAAGGAATGCCGTGGGGATGCCCACTTGGGATTCCATCCATGTAGGGAGTTCACCCCGTGGTTAACTACATGTGGAAATGATTGGTTCCACATGGGATCTCTATCCACATAGAGAAGTCCCCTAAGTAAATCCTCCTGGTGGACTCCTGTGGATATTTTTTTTGCCAGCATAAAGGGATTTTTCGTATGGATACCTCGTCTAGACGCCTTTAAACCAAAGGCCTTTTTTGTCTCACTGCTTCATTACCTAAATGGCTATGAAAGAGTCGACCTTAAGTATTATGAATACCAATTATCTTACATTTTTTAGGGCTTCACTGGTGGAAGCGGATTTTAAAGTTTTATATTTAAATTTTGCACGATAGCGCAAATTGCATGCAAGCGTTGCTGACGAATGGTTGACCATGTTCCTCGAAATTCGCATCATCTTATATAGAGAAGACACTAGGAATTCTTGCACAGGGTTGGTAACATGAATAATATTCTCCGACAGGGAGTTGTTTTTTGAGCCTGGCCAAAAATTCAGTTTCCTGGTTCCATCCACGGAGTTTGGGGAAGTCGATGAGATTCTTGTGGAATGGGAACATGGAGTAAAGGTGATGAACCCTCTGACCTGGCGGTTCCTCTCCAAACCCAAGACATTCATCGATCGGGTGGTCGTCAAGACCCTCGAACGCAACGCCACGTGAGTCCCACGCAGTCCCTCTTCGTGCACATGTCGCAGAATGCAACATCCATTGTTCAACGAACACAGGGTGGGTTTCTGTGGCCGGGGTCGAGAGTTGGTGTCCGGGGAGGGGATGACCATGAAACGGGATGACCGTGACAAATGCCTATAGGAACCTTTGCCCAGTGTCAGTCATCCAACTTCTGACTGGGGGAAAGTGTCGTGGAATTCCTTGGAAAGACCTTCAAACCGGCGTCTAAAATACCACCTCATCACCACTAACATCGTCTTCATCAGAGCCATCAGAGAGGGGCATTCATGTGCATGATTCAATTAATTAATGGACATTCGTGCCATTTGCATTATCTTCAGTATTTTATGCAAGACGTGGATATGTGTTCCCTATCTTGATCATGCTCATCCCCTCGCCAACAATGATCTCGTCGAAAACCGTCACATGTGCATTCGTTCCTCGGCCTTCCGTGTTAAAAAGTACTTATCAATTGCTTTATTTCTGAAGAGAATTTACATTCCTGAAAACATTGAGACGGTGCTGCAGGGGAACGGGCGAATCAAGTCGATGGCTAGTGAAAGAAAATCTGACTTTATTCATTTCTAGGGGGAGGGGGGGTGGCTGCTTTTCCCACAGACCGTTTGGGATGCAAACGACTTTAGCATGACCATTGGGAGATGGGGCAAGTACTATCTGAGTACCCAGTACTATCTGACAAAAGCCTAATCACAAAGTCTTTCATTGCCATGAAAAGCCTGAATCTGAAATTGTAATATGATCATACAAGCTTGCATATTGGAAAGGGCTCCAAGAGCTCTTGCATGACAAAATGCAAAGAAACGTACGAAAAGCAATTACTGCCACACCCCTCATTTTGGAGGAAGTGGATACGCAGTAGTGTTGCCTAGTAATGGTTTGGTAATAATGACAAAGTGGCTCCTGTACGATCGGGAAGAATAGGATCATTATCAAGTATCCACCTGCGATTCTTCATAACTGCTCTACGAGTTGAGCGTGCTAGTTCTCATTTCCATACGACTTGACGTTAGATCTAGCTCAAACAAGGATACCCTAGTTCCACAGTAAATATCTATTCGGTGTTAAACGCCAGAGATTAAATCCTAACAAGAGAACGGATCGAAAGTCAGGTGAAAGTCGCTGTATCGATCTTGAATACAGGTTATTTTTATTGGTCCATAAAGTCCCGGCAGTAAGACAATATGGCAGCAATAATGGCGATAACACAAATTCCTTTAAGGAAAACACGATTGAAGGATTCCTAATTTAAAATTTGATAATAGGTGTTGAAAATGTCCACTCCCACTGTCTATACACAACCTAGCTCTGGAAAAGTGTTTCTTCAGAGATTCCCCGGAGATCATCTTCAAGCGCCAAGACCTGTGAGATTAATCACCAAGACCTGTGAGATGGTTTCGATATGCTCTATTCTTCTAATATCCCCGCAGTCAGGCAGAGACAAATCAGGAGACCTTGGTGACCACGATCCCTTCGAAATTGTGCGATCCTAAATGGGCGATTCCATAAAAAAACGAAAAAAAATTAGCAAATTAACTTCAGACCATCACAGATTTTGATTTAAATTTTTTATGCAAGGTTATTATGTCCGAAAACTAGGAACTCTATAATTTCAGCTCCATTGGGTCAAAATGTTAAATTCGTACTAGAACCTTTTGACCAACAGCTTCAAGTTGGTAAAAAAAATGGTGGTCAAAATGTTGGGTCACCTTCCTCCGATTTTGATATCCCTGTAATTAAAAAAACCATTCGTACTAGAACATTGACTAAGGTGTCGATTCATTGCAAATTGCCTGAAATATTCAAATTTCGTATTAAAATATCACTAGAATCAAAAAACAAAATGTTATTTATGAACGAAAATTTTGACCTTTGAACCTCTAAAAATTAAAATCTAAAAAAAGTACCAGGAAAAGGTCAATGACTGCTATTAATTTGCAAAATTACAAAGAGACAATATTTTCTGTATTCCGCCAAAAAATTATTGAATAAGAAGATCCCTACCACAAATAAGGCATTCCGGCTCAAGTAAATGAAATCGTGGTTGCGTGTGCAACTGGGATTTCATTACAAAATTCATGCATGATGAACTCTCTGAGATATGAAGGCATACCAAATTTCAGAGCGCTAGGCCAATCGGTTTAGAAGATATTGGTCTAGCCCTAAAAGTTCGTCCCAGGGGGAAAATTCACCCCAAACGTCAGGCGGCTATCTTTGGTCCTAGTTGAGCCAACAAGAAAATGTTGACCTCAAATAAAAGCTGAGACTAAGCTTATTCATATTTTACAGGTTTTCGCTTTCCGTAGTTAACCTTGTTTCCTAACAAACCTGATAATGATTTGATTAATTTTCATTTAATGGGAATCGTGGTAACACAATGAGCTCCTGATACGTTGAATTTGAACTTACCATGAACCTCTAAAATTTTAAATATAAAAAATACCATGAAAAGGTGAATGACACTCCTACTGATAAGTAAAATTGCAGAGAAGTAATATTTTTTGTAATCCGTCCATACATTTTCGAGTCAGAAGATCCCAACTACATATGAGGCATTCTGGCTATCCTTGGTATGGGAATTCTTGTGACGTGGGAGTGAACAGCTGTGGTTCAATTATCCCACATTGTTTCAATCATGAAATTTCTCCAATTCCTGAAAGTCTTTCCCTATTTTTTTTTACGGTAGACGCCTGAGTAAAATGTATGAGTTATACTCTAACTCTGTGAATTTAATAGTAAAATCTTCTCACCAGGTTCAGCATTTAGACTTGCATGTATATTTACACTTGTCGAGAAAGATAACCCAGGAACTAAAACCTTACCATGTAAATGCAGCCCCAACTCCGAATTCGATTGTGTTACAGATTCAAGTTACTGGGAGATAGTAGAGTTTTGGTTACCCGTTTTTGAGGAGGACGGGGACGCGAACCTATTATTGGGTTGGAAAGAAAGTCTTGCAACACTTTCTAAAACTATTTATAAAAATTTTCAAAGGAACGATGGGCGGGGCTTTGCATTTGTATATGCTGGAATGTTCTCGAAGCATATGCCCTCGGGGTATATGAGGCGGCTTCTGCCATTAGTTGGCAGCCATGGGATCGAACGAGCAACTCTTCGCCCCATCGTCTACTACGAGTTCCTCCAAAGACACTCTGCGAGAGCCGCCGCGGACAACATCTGCGCTGCATTCAAGGGCAACGTCGTCCACTATTCCACGGTGTCTCGATGGTTCAAACGGTTGGAATCTGACGACACGACCTTCGGAGATCGACCACGCTCAGGACGTCCATCTACGGTCGATGACGATGCCCTGCGGAACGCCCTCAACGCGAAGCCGAACGCCACCGCTCCCGAATCGGCGACTACACTTGGAGTCACCCATATGGCCATCGGCAACCATCTGAACGACCTCGGCTATCGGAAGGTTTACTCGACATGGGTTCCTCATCGGCTCGGCGACTCTGACAAAGCAAGCCGTGTCGGTGTCTGCGAATCACTGCTCCTTCGTCCGCACAGAAAGGACCTTCTGAAGGAAATCGTTACTGGAGATGAGAGCTGGGTCCTCTACGTCAACCATACTCGCAAGAGTCAGTGGCTTCCACGAGGAGAATTGCCGCCACACGAACCGAAACCAGGGTTCCACGAGAAGAAGGTTCTTCTCTGCTGTCGGTGGGATTCAGAAGGAATGTTGTACTATGAGCTCCTGCCAACCGGTACCACCGTGACTGCCGTCGTCTACGCTGCTCGACTTCAGAAGTTGGCTGGCGTCATTCAAAAAGAGCGTCCCAAACGCGACAAAGTTCTCCTTCTGCATGACAACGCTCGTCCACGTGTTGCGAAGATGACTCGCCAGACGATTTCGGAACTGGGCTGGGAAGTTTTACCCCATCCAGCGTATTCTCCGGACTTGGCCCCTTCCGACTATCACTTGTTCCGGGCCCTCAAGAATCACCTGCGGGACAAGGCCTTCGACGATCGAGCACAGCTCGAAAATGATGTCGGCCGTTTCTTCGCTTCGCAATCGCCAGAGTTCTGGGCAAAGGGCATCGAGCAGTTACCCGTGCGTTGGGAACATGTCATAGACAACAATGGTCATTACATTGTAGATTGAAATTGCATTTGAATAAAGTTATAAAATTTTGAAAAATTTGCGCAGTGTTGCAAGACTTTCTTTTCAACCCAATACTAGGCGTTCAAGTTCTAGATTTCCGAATGGCTACGCGTTCCAGGTCTGGAACGGAGAGTAACATCCACGGATCTCACCGCAGATGAAGTGCAAACGACACCTAATTAAAGGGTATGGTCGACCCAGCGATAAACAGCTAAGGTACAACCTGGTAAACTCACAAATCCCCAGTATTGAAATGTTATGCATTTCCCCCTTGGTTTGGTCTACTGCAATTAAATTTTATTTCCTTAACCCTTTCGCTGTTAGCCCGGGTACGTACTTGGGCTCTGAAACCCAGTCCTTGTAGGTTGTTTCTATTCTATTTATGGATGTAACTGACATACATTCGGTATTAAAAAAAAATCATTTTCTGTATAAATAAATTTCTTTTTGTCGACGTATATGTCTTTCGGAAGCATTGAATAACAAAAAAATAAAGTTCGTATCTTTATTGACCCATTCTGTAAAAAATGGCTTCCTACGCACTTAGTTTTGCGTTAGATGATGAAATAAATATAATTTTAAATGCTAATTGTGACATTTACTATGTTAGTAGTGAAAATGAAGGTGATGTAGAAATGAAAGTTGAAGTTGAAACTTAAGATGATGAAAATTACGAAGATGGGAGTGGAGATGCAAGCAGGAATAGAGGGTGAAAAACTGTTAATGTACCTGAGTTTAGCAGGAATCCTCATGCAACTAATTTCTTGACTTTTACAGGAAATCCTGGGTTGAAATTGAATATTCCAATCCCCCTGTGATGGACGAGTCTGAACGAATTTTCACAGATGACCCGGGTCAATTTATATGTTCCTAGCAATATACAGGATGGCCTAAAAGTTTTTGGTCCAATTTTTAAATTATAAATATTTCGAAAACTATGAATGCTAGAAAGTCGAAAAGGGTGCCAAATTCAATGTCAGGGTCAATTCTTTTGGTATGGCTCTTTCAAATGGTATGAGGTTTCCCAGTCATGGGTGCCACTGCATGACCGCCACGGTCATGCAGTGGTAGCGGCCGTTTGAAAAAACCATACGCAAAAAAATTTGCAAAAGCGCAATTTCGACGCTGCTGCTGCTGGCAGGTATCTGTGGGAAGGCGGGAAAACACGATTGGCGGCTGGTTACTTTTCTTCATGCTCATTAAGCATCTCTTCATTTCCCCGTGATTATCCATTTGTCATTCTCGCGCCAAAACTGGATTGACAAGTGAGTGTAACAAGGAATAACCTGCGTC